TACGGGGCACCCAGTGAGGATCAAACTCACTATTCAGTTGTAATTGATCTATTGAGACAAGCTTGCTAACCCTTACATCGCATCAAGGTGCCCAATGAATTTCTAAGCAAAGCTTAGGTGTGGCACAAGACCAGAAGTATGGGGCACTCAGTGAGGGTCGAACACACTATTTACTCATAACAGATCGAGCAAGACAAGCTTGCTACCCATAACATCACGTCAAGTGCCCAAAATGGTTTTCTAAGTGTAGCTTAGATGTGGTACAAGGCTAGCAGTATGGTGCACCCAGTGAGGATCGAACTTGCTATTAATTCAGTCATAATTGATCGATTGAGACAAGCTTGTTAATCGTTATATCACATCGAAGTATCCCAAGCTTTGTAGGTTGTGTTGTTGAGAAAACAATGGAAATTGCTCATAGAATTCAACAATTATTTACCAGAGATGGAAAGTAACCAGCAGGGGAGATAGGATGTCTTTTGTCATAGACTCCATGGGGCTTAGTGCAAATTTGTGTTTAACACGAACGATAGTACCGTTAACTACTAAATATATATATATATATATATATATATATATATATATAGTTTATATTTTTTAAAAGAGTCGGGGTTTTGTGGGGTTAATCAAAAAGAAAAAATACAAGTCACTCATAAAAGGTACATTCAAACAATACCAGACAGTTGCCAACTGGACATTTGCATCCTTAAACAAATGTGTCCCTGGATATTTTACGTACCTCTGATAATTTTTTTGACTTTACCATCTTTTTTAGAGTTGTTTAATATAGAAATTTGCACACCAATACCTTTAATTACTCTAAACAAGCAGAAAGGTAGTTACCATAAATAAAAAAAAAAATAGAGAAAAAATTTCTTTTTTAATGCAAGAGAAAATTAAGCTAGCAGTTTCAGTTCACTCCAGCAGTGCGTACCACAAACATCTAACAGATTCTGGATTTTATAGATTATATTCTTATTTGGAACCCATGGCTTAGTTCCGAAAATCAAACACTGGTGGAAAAATATTTGTGAACGAGGAAAATTACAGCTACCATTATCACAAAAAAAAAAAAATGCCAATCAAATAAAAACATCCTGGTGATGTGTAGAGCAATCTTTGAACGCTACTAATCTGTCATTGCATTTTAAACAAAAATAAACTTTTAATTTTTTTTATTTTATTCCTTTTTTTAAAAATTTATGATTTCAACCTATGCGTTTTTCAAAAGTTAAAATAATTGCTTCAAAAAATTATCAGGGGTACGCAATTATCTAGAGATACATTTGGCTAGGGATGCAACTGTTTGTCAACCTTGCTTTTTCTGCTTCTTTTTGCGAGGAAAGTTTTCAGAATCTTGAAATGAATGTTACGGTAATTGCCTTTGAAAGCTTCAAAAAATTATCAGTGGTATGCAATTATCCAGGGATGCCATTGTCTGGGCCGCAAATGCCCAGATTGTACTAAATGCAACTGTCCTAGAACCACTTCTTTCATCCTAAAACAAACATAAAATTTACAAGTGAATTCTGCCCCGGCACCAAGATAACATGCAAGTGACATATCCATTAGGCTAGCATTAAACAGATTAAATAAGATTAAAGATTAAATAGACTGGGGATCCCATTTCTTTCTAGTCGTACTCCTGCTGAGGTTTGAAATGTTTCTATATTGCAGTCCTTGCCTGACATTTAAGATTCTGTAGATCGATACAGGTCCTCTGTTAGATCAATGCATTTAGGGAATTACAAGCTTGGAAGACAGTGTTCGGATCCATCTACCCAGGTGTTTTGTTGCTATCCGAGTGTTGGGATTCCAAACATTTAACAACATACAAAAAGTTATTCTCTAAAGAAAAAATAGAAGCAGAGCGTTAGTTCAATTTTCTTTGCAGTGAGGTTTGTTTTATCAAATAATTAAGTGTCGGTGTGAAATGTCATTTTCTGTTGTTGTGTGTGTATGTGTGTGTGTATACACACACATACACACACAACAAACTGACCTCCGAAATTATTTTTAATCCTGAGAAGCAGTATGCTTCTATTTTTATATCCCTAGAAAGGATCAAAAATCTAATTTTACATAGAGGTGCAAACTTTTGGGAATTGGTTAGAAAATAATTTAATGGTGGCTTGCGAAATTTTTTTTCTTGAATTTGCAGGAGTGGTGAAGGGTCATTTTCATTTTATTGTCATTTTCTAAATGTGCCAAAAATAAAACATGGCAGATCTACAACTATGCCTGCAAGTATTTTGGTGGTAATTGTCCCTCTAACGATTGTTTATCAAACAGGCCTTCTGATGGGATTTTATTGGTTGAAAAAAAAAAAATATATATATATAGGATTTGATTCCAATACCAGTTTCTAATGGATGAGAAGAAAAGTCTATTGATGTGGTTATATGCCACTGTGAAGTCGACAAAGCATGTATACTGTTTCCTATTAGAGAGGTAAGAAACTTCTTGGAGTTGTTTGACGACATATATGCCATCGTTGCATTACCTTACCAGAACAAAACTCAAACTGGGTCATGAGGAGATGACTTTTATAAAAATGATGAGAGCCTAGATAATGTAATGTTCATCAATACTTTCGCAATGAGGGTAACCCTTTATGCGTGAGCATCTTGCAGGCTACCTTTCTGTTTATATAATGCATTAATGCGTGATAAACCTCACTTTTTTTGGGAATGCATTTCTGATTCGAGACATCTTTCATAGAATAGAGAGACTTGTTTTCAAAGGTTCCAGTCTCAATGTCAAGTAATCTTTTATTAGTTTTTTTTTTTTTTAAAGCTTTCTTATTTTCCTCATCAGTGAGTTTGTTATTGTTTATGTTTAAAAGCAGCCTTTCTAATGATTGGATGAATATTTGGATAAGTTCTGGTTCTGTGAGAGTCTAGTGTTGTCGGGGTTGAAATCTGATTCAAAGTGTATCGCACTGAATCTCAGTGAAAGTGGCACTCTATACATAAATATTCCTGTCATTTTTTTTTTGGATAATAAGTATATTTGTATACATATTTCAAGCGGAGATTTTTTGGGGGAAAAACCTAATCCTGTTAAAGATTTAACCAGAATAAAAAACAAAAAACAAAAAGAAAACCAAATACAGCATTGAATCTTTTATTCTTTTATTTATCATATCCTTTCAGGATGTAGACAGTCTCCACAAAGCCTTGATAGAATCTAAAAGTATCACCAAGCCTTTGTGGGTGATGTTTTATTCTCCATCCTTCAACCTCTCTGTTATTAACCCTGAGAAGCAGTATGCTTCTATTTTTATATCCATAGAAAGGATCAAAAATCTAATTTCACACAGAGGTGCAAACTTTTGTGAATCAGTTAGAAAATAATTTAAAGCTAGCTTGAGAAAATCTTTTTCTCGAATTTGCAGGAGTGGTGGGTGGTGAGCCTCTTGCTGTTCTGTCGCTACTTCTATGGAAAGTGCTTGAGCAAACTACATTCCCTGGACATACCATTTCAAACCTTCATGGCAAAGACATCTGGGGCAAATTGTCACCCACCTAAGTACAGACCAGGCTTGAAATAGTAGCAAACCGCATACATTCCCCCTGTATTCCATCAGTGAGAGCATCCTGGGTATGACGATAAACTGCATCCGCATCCTGGGTAAGATGATAAACTACGTCCAGCAGCAAGGGCTCTGATCAGGAGGTTTTTTGGAGTGTGGAACCACCTCTTAATTGCTGGTGTTCCCAGGTCCACCCTGACCCGGGGTGGTAGCACCTGTCAGGGTCCCAGCTATGGGCAAATAGTTGATCCCACAACCTGACTCAAAACAGTATGAAAGTGTAAAAATAGATTTTAATACCAGAAATACTTTTAAAAAAAAATTAGTATCAGCAATAAATATTTGAAAAAAGAAAATATTACCAGAAATAAAAATCTTGTCAGCATTAAATAACCCATTGAGGTTGATATGCCATGAAACAAAATAAACCAAACCAATCTAAACCAAAGAATACATATTCTATTCATACGAATCTATCCTAAAAATGTTGTCGACATTCAATAACCCATTGAGTTTCGTATGCCGTAAAACAAAATAAACCCAAACAATCTAAACCAAAGAATACATATTCTATTCATACGAATCTATCCTAAAAATGTTGTCGGCATTAAATAACCCATTGAGGTTGATATGCCGTAAAACAAAATAAACCAAACCAATCTAAACCAAAGAATACATATTCTATTCATACGAATCTATCCTAAAAATGTTGTCGGCATTAAATAACCCATTGAGGTTGATATGCCACAAAACAAAACAAACCAAACCAAAATCCATCAGTGAGAATTATGTTCCACTCAAACAGCTTCTTCCTGTGAACTACTGCTGTATGGAACTGACTCCCAAGAGGATGTTTCCCTGATCACTGCAGTCTTAACCTGTTCAAGGCTAGGATTAACCATTAACCGTTTCACTCCTATATGCAATGTAGCCCTCTAACTTGAGTGGCCCCCGGGCCTTGTAAAGGGTGAACATTACTTTAAAAAAAAATCCCCCAAAACTTCCTATTACGCTTTGCCTCTGCTCAGCTATTCACTCTCTTCTTTTATGTGTCATGTCCCTTCAGGACAAGGCTCTCCACAATTTCCTATCTTTTTTAATTTGAAGCAATGTTTGATTCTTCAACATTCCTCTTTGTTCCCACTCAGCCATCCACACACTTCTTTTATGTGCAATGTCACTACAGGATGAGTGCGATCATGGCTCTCCACAACTTCCTGTCTCTTGTAGTTCTAAGCGATGCTTCCTTTGTCCCTGTTCTGCTATCCACTTCTTTTTCTTTTATGTACTGTATTATGACTCTCCACAACTTCCTATCCGACAATCATCCATCTTCATTCCTGCTCAGCCATCCACTGTGCCACTACAGGACTTTGGTGGTTATGGCTCTCCACAACTTCCAGTCTAGTCCTAAGCAATGGATAATGGCTTGAAATTTGTGCTTAGAGAGCTGAGTTCCAATACATCCATATCATGATGAAACACTGGTTCTCATACAATTACTAAAGTTAAGCAATTTCAAGCCTAGCCAGTACCTCGATGGGTGACCACTTGGGAATACCATGTGTGGTAAGCTTGGATAATGGCTCAGAATTTGTGTTTGGAGAATCGAGTATCACTACATCTGGGGCAAATTGTCACCCACCTAAGTACAGACCAGGCTTGAAATTGCTTAACTTTGTGATCATATGAGAACTGGTGTTTCCCCCATATGTATAATGAAAGGAAATATTGCTACATTTGGTGTGTATAAAAGTTGAGTTGCTAGTACTCGTTTTTGAAAAAATAGAGACGTTTTTCTTTTTAATTTTTTTTGCACCTAATATAAGAAAAATTTTTATGACCATATTCTCAGCAAAAAAAAACTCCAAATTTCAGTCTTTACATGAGTGATCACGTTTGTTTGAATGATGGGGAGGAGCTTACAGAAAATGTTCACATCAAACATGAAAAACATTTACCTGTTAAAAAGAAAAATAAAATCAAGGAAAAAAAAAAAAAAAAAAATTGCCTAAAAGGTATTTTCTCTCAAGCTGACTAGAACGGAAACGTCGACTGTTTTTTGATGCACTTTTTGTTACGTCAGCATAAAAGCGACTTGAATAATAAATGGTAGACATCTTGCCTTTTGCTGCCAAAAGCTTCTATCTGTTTTAAGAGATGAAGGGCAGGGTAATTTTAAATACATATCGCCCTGGTGTCAGTCTAAACTGACACTTTCTATGCCTGTATATCTAAACTATAATTTTGGAAGGTGAAAATTTCAATGAAATAAGTAGGAAAATTTCCAAGAAAAATGAACTTCTAGTTGTTGTTAGTAGTAAAGTAATGGCCGAGTTCCAATTCAAGTTGTGTTTGTCATATTTATTTGCGTACAAATAGATTTGGGAAAGGTATGAATACATCTCTTCATGCCCCGGCTATAGATTAATTAGTAGGACTTGTATCACTAAATCCTTATTATCACTAAAAGAGAAATTATTGTAAGTAGACTATATAAAATGGGGGATCAATTCTCTATTACAATCAATATAAAAACTGATCCCTCACTTTGTGACCAGGTTATTTTTATTACAGACAGCGTAAATAAATCAATGAACTTTTTCTTTACTGCTTTACAGTGTATCGCTGAAGATGGATGACAGATAAATTTTCTGGCTTTAAATAACCTGCAAAAGCTTGATAAGCCATAGAAAACAAATCACTTAATCATTCTCTGGAATATAAAAGTATAGAAATTATCATGACCACAAAGTGAGGGATCAGTTTATATAACGATTATATTGAAGAATTGATCCCCCAATTTATATCCACATTATAATTTCTTGCTTCTGACTAAGTATGAATCCATCTCGTCTTCCCCAGCTATGGGTTAATTAGTCAGACTTGTATCACTAAAACATTAGTACCTCCCCACCCACTTATGATCTAAAATATTTTCTGGCTGTCAAGTGGAGAATTTTTCTAGGAAAAACCTAATCATATTAAAGATTTAACTAGACTATAAGGTTGATAAGCCGCAGAAAATGAATCAATCAAATACTGATTAGCCGCACAGACATGTCTTTTAGATTTATTTACATTGTCTGGAATATAAATGTATACGGTGGCCACAAAGTGAGGGGTCAGTTTATATATTGATTGTAATATAGAATTGATCCCTCACTTTATATCCACGTTTTTTCTTGTTTGTTTACCAAATTCTGATTAGGTATGAATCTATGGATTAAGCCATAGAAATCAAATCAATTAAATGCTGGCAGGTCGTCTTTTTTTTTTTGTTTTTTTTAAATCATTTCATTGCACATAAGGTGACAATACCACTAGAAGATAGGTGGTTGGAGTGGCAGTGACTGAGAATGAGAAGATTGAAAATGGGGATGATTGAGGAAAGGGCAAAAAAAAAAGGAACAGGGTTCAAGAAAACAAAAGATGGCAACTGATGGTGCATTTAAATTTTTGAAAATGGCTGTTATCAGGAAAGCAAGAAATTGGAAGGTAGTTCCACAGGCGAAAAAGTGCAAGAAAAAAAAAGTTCAACAGTAAAATGGTGATACCTACTTGCCAATCTGGTAGTATGCTTAAATTTATGAAGATGAGGAACCAGTAAAGAAAAAGTTCATTGATTTATTTACGCTGTCTGGAATAAAAATAACATGGTCACAAAGTGAGGGATCAGTTTATATATTGATTGTAATAGAGAATTGATTCCCCATTTTATATAGTCTACTTACTCGGATCAGTATACAGCTGATGAAGGCCAGAAAACATGGCCAAAATGTTGTGATAACAACAACAAAGATGAGGACAATAATTTTGGAAGGTGAAAATTTCACTGAAATATATGGGAAAATTTTCAAGTTCTCATCTGAAATAAAGGAAAAAAAAACTATCTTTAAGCCACAATACAGTGTAACCCGGATATATGAGAGTTGTCGGGACCGGAGAAGTCGTCTCTTATATCCGGGTTTCTCTTATATCCGGATTTGGTCTATTTTGTTTAGGTAAGTATGGGCTCTAATTTGGGACCAGAGAAAATCTCTCTTATATCTGGGTTTCTCTTATATCCGGGTTTGGTCTATTTTGTTTAGGTCAGTATGGGTTCTAATTTGGGACCAGAGAAAATCTCTCTTATATTCGGGTTTCTTATATCCGGGTTACACTGTATAAGGAAAAAGAAGACATCATTTTAAACTGAGAGTGAAATGTCTTAAATTCAAGCAGTACTTTGTCAGCCATTTTGTTTTAGGAACTCTCTGATAAATTTGTTTCAAAGTCTATTGTTATCTTCTATTGTTATTTTTGTCATGACTCGAGTTTAAAAGAAAAAAAAATTGTTCACTATACAGAACATCAGGGGTTCATTATCAAAAAAGATTAAAAAATGCTGAATTGTGCTAGGGTTTCAGCTAGTTTTAAATGAGATGATCAACAGGGGGCGCTAAAAAGGGCAAATAACTGAATGGAAACAAGGATAAACAAATTGAATTAACATGACATTGTTAAGCAAAAAAAAAAAAATTTAATCGAAAAAAATATATCAGACAAACTTAGAGGTTAGTTTTACAACCAAATTCTTTGAGACACAACATACTTTCAGCTTATTTATTTAACAATGACATTGTTGCAATGTATAAAGGAAAAGGGTTGCCAATTGTAATAAGAATCATGAGAATGTTTTCAATATCTTCAAAATAAGTGAATTTAATATATATATATATATATATATATATATATATATATATATACAACCCTGTGCAAATTAACTGAAACAAATGCTTTAGTTTCCTTTCTTTCACCATGCTGTTTTAGAATAACTAGAATGACACGGTGTAATTGATTTCTATTTTTCCTTTAGGTTAGGTCATTTGCAGTGGTGTGCAGTAATATGAATCTATTTTTAGGGTGTATTATGAAATTTTTTTGGCATTGGAAAATATTGTGTCATCTGTGATTGCATCATGCCCAGATACTATTGTTGTAAGTAGACAAAACTTGATCTAAATTACTTAATGAGACATGTCCCAATGAAAACATGCTGTCAAAATATACACAATATATATATATATATATATATATATATATATAGTCATCCACAGACAGACAGTTTCACTGTATAACAGCTCATCAGTGTGGCTAGAAATACAATTGCTTCAAGTTGGGATCGAAACCCAATTGATTTGACATCAGTTGGAGAGTCTCACCATTAGGCTATCAGCTCATGTGACATATATATATATATATATATATATATATACATACACACACTGTATAAACCAATATACATACTTCCAAATTTTAAGGAAAATCTTACCACCACCCATCCGCTACATCCTTAACTCTTTCTTTTCCAAAAACTCCTCCGTCCAGCTCATCTTTTTAAAAGACACTTCCCCTCCTTCTTGTATTCCCTTCCCCCTATCAATCTAATATATGCATCTGGTATATTGTCTCCATTGACTAAGAAATTTTGACTGATATGGTTTATTGTTTTACGCAGTACAAACCAATTCTATACACTCTTCATTATTATTTTAATACTAGTTTGATTCCATCTTATTATTGTTGCTTTTTATCCCAAATCTCTGGCTCTATACACTCTTCATTATTACTATTATTTTATTACTAGTTTCATTCCATCTTATTATTGTTGCTTTTTATCCCAACACTCTGGCTCTATACACTCTTCATTATTACTATTATTTTATTACTAGTTTCATTCCATCTTATTATTGTTGCTTTTTATCCCAACACTCTGACTCTATACACTCTTCATTATTACTATTATTTTATTACTAATTTTATTGCATCTTTCAATACTCTGGGTCAATACACTCTGCATTATTACTATTATTTTATTACTAATTTTATCGCAACACTCAGGATGGATACCCTTGTCAGTTGTCAAAGCAAGCAATGTGAAACTGAAAATTCTCTGGTCAAAGTCGTTAATGGAACAGCTATGACAATTAGGTTCCTGAAACTTAAAATCCTGTCAGAAGCTATTTCCAATTTCAGGCTTTTTATTTTCACAACTAAAGAGTGCATGAAAACATCTTTAAACTAATGGAGTATTAATAGTGAAACAACATCATCTAAAAATGTAACCCCCTCCACAACCATCCCACCAATTGCAAAAAGATGCAAAGACCTTGTAGCATCAGTAAAACTCGCAGAGAGCTGGCTATTCAAAAATCTAATGGGTTGTTCATTTCTCCATCAAGCGTTGATTAGCAAATAGCAAGTTTGTTTCTCCGTGGATGAATTGGCTGAACTGAGGGAAATAAAATTAGACCAGAATATATGAAAAGAATCTTTAAAAAAAAGATCTTCGTATCATCTAAAAACAACCTTTTCTCAAAACCAAAAATATGAAAATGAGACGCAGTTGAATCCAGAAAACTAAATTTGATTCACTCTACAGACACACACATGAAAAGAAACACATTTGAACCTGAAAACTAAATTTTGCACAAATCGCCTCCCCAGACACCCACATAAAGAAGCATAGCTGAACCTTAAAAAATTAAATTTTGCTTAAATCTGCTCTATAGACAAATGCAAAAAGAAACAT